GCAGAGGCAGAATTCAGGGCTATGGCACAAGGAGTGTGTGAATTACTCTGGTTGAAGATAATTTTAGAAGACCTGAAGATTCCACGAGAAGAGCCTATGAAACTAYATTGTGAYAACAAGTCARCCATYAATATTGCTCACAATCCTGTTCAACATGACAAGACGAAGCACATCGAAATTGATCGACACTTTATAAAAGAGAAACTGGACAGCAAATTGATCTGCACTCCCTATGTGTCTACAAAAGGACAACTAGCCGATGTACTTACGAAAGGGCTCAATAGTACAGACTTTCGGAGAATTATAGCCAAGCTAGGAATGAAGGATCTCTATTCACCAGCTTGAGGAGTGTTGGAAAACGTGGGGTTACTGGTTCAGATCTGAAAATAGAATTGTATATAATCCTAAGATTGTGGAAGGATTGATTTAGAAAGTTTTTTCTTTCTATTTCTTTCTTTCTATTTTTGTACTTTCTATTTTCTCTTCTTTCTTTTTTTTCTTCTTTCTATTTTTCTTTCTTTCTATTTATTGCAGCAGCTTACTGTATAAATATGCCCATTGGCAATAGAATGAAACATATCAGTATTCTACCATTCCAAAACATTGATATTCCTATTGCTAAGAGAAAGGGTGATAGGTCTTGTACCACTAATCATCCTATCTCTAATTTTGTGTCCTATGATCATGTTTCACCTTCTTTCTGTGCATTCCTCTCTTCTGTGGACAGTGTCCCCATTCCTAAGAATGTGGCAGAAGCTTTGTCTAAACCTGAATGGACAGATGCAAATGCAGGAAGAAATTGATGCTTTACACAAAAATGACACTTGGGAGTTTGTGGACCTTCCTGAAGGGAAAGAACCAGTGGGTTGCAAGTGGGTGTTCACAGTGAAACACAAGGCTGATGGAACTGTTGAAAGGTACAAGGCTAGACTGGTAGCAAGAGGCTTTACACAAGTATATGGAGTGGACTATGCAGAGACTTTTGCTCTAGTAGCCAAGATGAACTCTATCAGGATCCTTCTTTCATTGGCA